CGAATGGATACAATGCTTATGAAGGCCCATAAAAGGAATCACCCAGAAAGGCCCTATAAAACCCATGCATTTGGTTTGATCCATCCATTTGTGTAAAATGTAAAGAGGCCATTGGCTGATTAAAAGCATTATTTCAACTGGCACGGGCTCCCACCTCCCTTCTGTCCGTCAACGTTTTACACAGCGGGCTCACGGTAACGCAGGCTCACGCTAAAGGCCCTGTGCGGACAATAGCAGGCGTGTTTAAAAAGTGTGATTCAGGGATTATGAAACTCAAAGTGCTTTTTTTTTTTTCCTTTTTTTTCGAAAGTTGCCTGAACGTTGCAACACGGATAAAATGGGTCAAGTGACGCCCAAAATGATGCAAAATAGGACAAAGAACGAGTAATTAGTCATGGCGCGAACACCGGTTTGCACCTAGAATTTAGCTTGTTATGAAATCTGTGTCTACATCATGTGCAATTTGAAAACACGTAATAAAGAAATAAAAATTAAACAAAAAATAGTGAAGAGCACCCAAGACATTCATTCTAGATATAGTTTGATTTCAAAACTTATAACGCACATTAGATTAAAAAAACAAGAGAAGTAATGGAGTAATTTGGATATTTATAGCGAATATATAATGTTATTTAGTGTTGCAATTGTTTGACATTATTATAAGCAAACTGCATAATGCATTCTCTCTGTGCAGTCTTCTATTTTTGCATTTTGTCTGAAAAAATTGAAAGAAAGCTCTTTGTGTTAGATTAGAAGAGAGGGTGGGATTAAATAATTTTCTTCTTCCCACTCCTTTTTGGGCCAATTTTTGTGTTTTTTGTTGTTGGTATTTCTGCTATGATTTCATTAATATTATATGTTCTGTTTTAAAAGAATGTAAATTTCTTACTTTGCCCACAATAAATACATAAATCAATTTTAAAAACACACATTTCACATAATGTCTGTAGAGAAAATTTCAGTTTTGAACCTACATTTGTGGCATGATAAAGTCAAACCAACTCTGAATGAATGAATGTTCCGCAATATGACATTATACTCATCAATCTCCATGGAGACAAGCAAGTGGCTCCTCCAGCCCTTCTTACAGGTCAGATTTCTGAGAATATTTTTCAGCAATAAAACAAAACGTCACAGAATAAATACAAGATAGATGTGCTTAATGTCATACTGCGGAACATCCCAGGCAAAGCAATTGCGTATCCATGGAGACCCTCGCACCAGAAAAGCCGCACTGTGCACCTTTACATTCGTTTATAAGACTAAGACTAACAGTGGGTCTTAAAAGTCCTATATTACACAAAATTGAAAAAAAAAAGAATGTTGTTACCTCATCAAAAACATATCTGGAGTTGTATTTTGTTTCAGTCACATGTGTTTGAATTATACTCTATTTTTAGTGTCTACATTTCCAAAACTCAAAAATGCTCTGTTCTACCTTGTGATGTCATCTAGTGGTAGTTTTCAGTAGAGATTTGCAATTCCACGGTGAAAATCATCCATAAGATTCTAGCGAAGGTGTATGGAGTTTAAAAACAGAATAAACTCAGCCTAAAAAATGCAGGATTTGTGTGTTAAACATGTGTGAATAAAACAAAACACAACTCCAGGGTCTGTTTGTGACGAGGAAACAACATTATAACAAATCAGAAAATTGCGTAATATGGTCCCTTTAATCCTTTAAGACAAATTTAGCTTTTAGCCTCAGCGATCCAAATGTACCCAGCAGCAGTATTAAAGGGCAGCTCGTTTTCTACACTGGACACCCATCACACACATCACATAACACTCTATAGCGCAAGATGGAGCCTATGCATAATTCCCCCTATTTACATCAAAGCATTAAGCAGCTACGCGTGTCAAAAACTGTCACCACTGCTTATCCCATAGGCTCCCAACGCCAGGCGAATCTGCAACTCTTGGCCACGATTCACGTCCCCTGCTACCAAAATGACACATCCACAGTTACACGGGCTTCCAGGACTCCACAGCTCCCAAATGGTGCCTTCTGTTCCTGTGTCTGGCCATCTATGAAAAGACCCACTAAACACAATCCCTTCTTTTTAACACAAATCGCCACCCATAATGCAACAGTATAGCTCTGTTTCAGCATAAAAGTGACGCTAAATTATGTAACCGCGCGAGCTTTGGTTAGCGTTTTTTAAAAGGTGGTTTTGTCTCTTAAGGGAAGGCTGAATTCCTAAATGGTGACGCGAGCTGCACACTAAAATGGAGGAGCGGAGGAGAGATGGGTGCATTTTTATAGGCCCCCTTTGCATATTGGATTCTAAGCGGTCAAGTGCTTAGAAAGGATTCGATAAACAACAAGCAGTTTTAAAACATTTTCTTAATTCGAGACACAGCTAGAAATGCATGTTTATAGGAGCAGTTTTTAGATTTTTGTGGCAGGTCTTTCAGTGAATTTTTCTATCAACCATCGCCTCATTCTACTAAAACTAATTATAATTTACATTAAAAAAAAGTATTGTTTTTGTTTTCTCTTTTTTTATGTAGTCCACACTTTGCTACCAGTTAAAGCACCCGAGTTTTATTATGACCAATAGGGATGGTTTATTTTGTTTGTTTCTAACCAGAAGTATTACGCATTTAGTTTGCATAACCCTTAAAACGTCACATTTTAAAGGTGCACTATGTAACTTTTCTGGTGGAGGGTCTGTCAAATGTCATTGCTCAGCCTGGAATGGTCCACAGTATGGAATTAAACAGCTTTACTTACATTTATTAAATTGCAGTTAGTTTTATAGATCAAAACTACCTAGAAAAACATATTTTAGGTTTCCACTCCACAGATCTGACTTGTAACATGGTCTGGTTTGGTCTAAATTAATATAAAAATAGAAAGGTTTACTACCATACTGTGAAATGTTTCAGGCAGAGCATCTCCATGGAGAAAAGCATTTGACGGACCCTCCACCAGAAAAGTTACATAATGCACATTTTCAGTCTAATAGCAGCATTTTCTTATTTACCTGAACAGAAACATATGATCTATAAACTAAATTAATTCAAAATTGCTGTGTTATATCTCAATTTTATTTGTTTATGGACTGAATAATTAACCTGCTATGCACCTTGCAATGGTGTTGAACAACGGTAGTTTTTGTTTTTCATGTATTTTGGCCAGACATCACTAGCAATCCCACACAGTTGTATGTTTATTGCAGTAAACCTTTAATTAAAGGTCCAATATTATAAAAATTGTATTTTCATGAACTTTAAGCCATGTTGTAATGCTGTTACCTCTTCAAAAAACATAAATGGAATTGTGTTTTGTTTCTTTCACACATGTTTGAGTAACACTTTATTATTAGTCTGTTCACATCTCCAAAGCTCAAAATGCTCTGTTCCACCTTGTGATATTACGAAGTGGTAGTTTTTAAATTAAAAGCTACCTTTTACCTTTTATTACAGTACAGATTGGTAATTCCAAGGTATAAAAACACAATGAAGCACTTCCTGTATGACCACATGGCATCACAAGGTGGAAGAGTATTTTCTGTTTGAGAAAAGAACTCCTAAACATGCAGGATGTGTGTGTTAAACATGTGCGAATAAAACAAAACCCAGCTCCAGGTCTGTTTGTGATCAGGAAACATTATAACAGATTAGAAAATGGTGCAGTGGGAGTGTAGTGAAATGCACTGTTCAGTACATACTTCAATACTTTTACATTATGTTCTAGACTCATCTTCACACCCATGTGCTGCTTGTTGCCAGTATTTTTTGCTAAGGGACATCTCGCATAATCATCATTGACTGAAAATCATTGATTTAAATTCTCACTGAGGCTCTGTTTTGGCCTCCAAGGGAAACATATAGTGTATTTTATCTGATTGCAGACAACTTGCAGGCTCAATTTACTTCCATACGGTCAATAAACTGCCACTTTTATAACAAACTAATCTAACATTTGGAGATTGAAGACTCCTCTCCCAACTTTTCAATTTTAAAGTTTTATATTCACTTTAAATCAATACTAAAACATTGTTATCATGAAAAGGCTGAATTTCCCATGTTTATGAACCTGACATCTGTTTATTTGATGACAATAATAACATAGTTTGGTCAATATAGTGCAATAAGTGCAAAGCAATCAGGACAACTCAAAACCGAAGGGATAGAGATTTCTGTGAATGCTTGTATAAAAATAGGTGTTACATTGATTAAAATATCAGTATTAGACAACATAACAATACTTCATTATGAATTTTCCTCTGATAACAACTCTACATATTAAGAATGAATACCCATATTCATTTTTAATATAATAATCTCCTTTATGAGAGCTCATCGAAGGCTATCCCGCCTTCTAAATTCCAAAAAGTGCAGAAAGCATACAAAGACACTTTTTATAATCTTCTTCAAATGTCTTTTTTCAACATTTGGGGGTGTGCCACTTCCAAAAAAAGCCACTTGTACAATGCAGAGCTACAGGAAATGAAACTACAACAGAAGCCGTTTTTTTCTCCAGACGGTGATGAAGAATGACACAGGTAATACTGAATCAAAAGTTTTGAAAAGACATGGCAGATTATATCAATAAATATTTACTTACAGATAACAGCAGAAAATAGTCCCTAGACAGTTCTCATGATCTGCTGTACAGTGTTTTTGTCCAGAAATGATTTTATTATAAACATTTTCTTTTTCTGATTTCACAATATATCTTATGTATGGTTATACTCCTGAAAACGAAGTCGAGTAAGATTTGTACCTGTACACTTTTGTTATTTGATCTTTCACCATAGAAAAATAAATTTTGCTTCATAGTTCTCCACCCATGTCTGTTTCAAGAAAGCTGTATCCATTCCTGTAATGTCATGTTTCAGAAATAAGAATAAGACTGTTCGGCACACCCCATGTTTTAAACTCCATTCGCTTTTTTATTTGCAACGTGCCAAGGCACCCTTTTGTTTAAAACTGAGCCACTCTGCTGCAGGGAGCGATAAAATGCTTTGTTACATTAATGATCCCGGTGCTCAAAACTGGCTGAAGGTGGTCTGTTTCTCCAGGACTTCCAGGTAGTCGGGCTCAGATTGCAGTTTAGCTTTTAGTTCCAAGTATTCATTCCTATTGGGCTCCACGAACACAGTACTAGGAGCAGTGCCGTAGAGTACAGTCTCTCTTATCCTGTCCGGGTGCAGGAACTGACGCCTGACATCAAAGTTTGGGTTGTACGTGTAAGAGACTGGCCCTGTGTACTTGTACTCTAAATTGGCCCCCGGGGGTAGAGAGGGGATGGACTGGCAGGGGGATTGCTTGTCTGGCTCCAGGATGCCCCTGAAGAAGTGGTCCGCGTCCGGTACGGGGGAGGGGTTATCCCGCGGTTCGATAGTGCTGACGCTGTACGCGGGGCTCCTCATTGTACTGCTATCCCTGTCCTCCTCCGGGGTACTCCTATATGTCACTTTGAGTTCATGCAGGTCCCTATAGTCCTCCACAGTATTCCCCTCTCGCGATCTGTAAATAGGGTTTTTACACATGTGCCCCATTGGGTGAGGGATGTACTCGTAGACGTGACCAGCCGGAGCTTTGACTTTATTACCAGAGCGGTTGCTATAGAGACTGTACTGCAAGTTAAAAGAGCTCACGTCCGAGTTGTTGGTGCTCGTACGGTCGCTTTGAGACTTTTTGCGGCGTTTCATGACCACGACGAAAAGCCCCGCCGCCACGAAAACGGACATGATGAACACGAGCAAGAGGCTGAGGATCAGGACCGAGAGGGGCACCGTGCTGCTCGGGGAGGTGAATTTCGGGGGCGTGTCTGTGGTGGCGACGTGGTCATCCATCGGTTCCTCCGTCGGCAGGGTCGGCGAAACGTAAGAGTCCGCGTAGTCCGGGCAAAGCTGATCCGATTCGATAGAACGCAACTCCATTCCGGCGTGCCGCTTCGGGCTTTCGCAGATCACCTCATTGACCATGGTGCCTGCGCTCAACTGCTCTAACCATATTTTCATACCAACGGAATCGCAAGAACAGTCCCACGGGTTTTCAAACAGATCAATTTGCACCAATAACTTCAGCTGGTCCAAAACTCCACTCACAGGCAGGTTTTGGAAGTTGTTGTTGCGTAGATTCAACCTAGAAAGGGACAGGCTAGAGAATATGCCAACTGGTAATGTCTTTAGCAAGTTGTTGTTCAAAAAGAGTAGCTGAAGATTAGGGAGGTAGCGGAACGTGGCCGCCTCCACCTCTCTGATTTTGTTGTACTCTAAATAAAGGTACTGGAGGTTTTGCAAGCCGTAGAACATTTCTCCAGTAAGCCTGTCCATGAGATTACCATTCAAATACAGCCTACGCAGGTTGGTTAAATCCCCAAAAGCTCGGTCGTGGATCACTGTTATCCTGTTGTTTCCGAGGTGGAGCAAATCCAATCCGGTGGCGTCGACAAAATCAGATCTCCGCACCACCGGGATGTAATTTCCAGTGAGATACATTTTTTTCGGATTGTATGGCTTGGGTTTCAGATCAGAAATGCTCTCTATCTTCCGCTCTTGGCAGTTGACATTAAGTCCAATCTCGGATATTTGTAGATTACATGTACAGTCGGTGGGACAGTCCAAAGGCACAGGAGATTTGGTTTGAAAAGCAATAATTGGGCCGTAGTTGTAAGGATTGCCTCCCGATATCCGCGACGTGGGCTTGATTTTAGTTCTGTTAAACTGTCTGGTGCCCCGGGTGGGCTTGGACGATGACCTCAAAACGGCAGAGGACGTGGCGGAGGTGGTGACCGACGAAGGGGTGGTCTGGTAATATCCACTGGTGCTGCTAGGGGGCGCCGGTCTCACAGCGTCATCCATAGGTCTACGGGGGCACAGTTCCTGCTTAGACACCTCGTCCAAGTCCCTCCCGTGTAATCTAAAAGGCGTCTCGCAAACCACCTCCCCCACTAGAGCTGTATAAGCGATGCTCTCTAGCCAGTTTTTAAGCGCGACTAATTCACACGAGCAATTCCAAGGATTTTCTTCAAGTTGTAATTCCACAACTTTGTCCATGTGCTCCAACAAACCCACATAGGGGAAAATTTTTAGCCTATTCCCCCTCAAATCTAAATGCGTCAATGGCACGTTGCGGAATATATTAGAAGGGAGGGCGGAGAGCAGGTTGTCATTTAAAATCATGACTGTCAGTTGGTGGAGTCTGCTCAACGCATTGGGGTCAATATTGGTGATGTAATTATAGTCAATCTGTAGATATTCCAAACTCTCCAACCCGGCGAAAGTGTCATCCCGGATAATCTCGATCTTGTTATTGTTCAGGTGCAATCTTTTTAATCCCTGGAGCCCGTTGAAGGCTCCGGACTCGATCTCGGATATGTCATTGTTTCCCAAGTGCAAGATGGTCACCCCTGTGTAGTTGATAAAGTCATTGACGGACAGTTTCTTGAGTAGGTTCCCCGTGAGGAGCAGGTGGTACATGGAGAACTGAACGGGGCTGATTTCCGTGAGACGAATTATACCTCGGTTCTCGCAGCTCACGGTCAGGATGCCCTCCTTCTCCTCGCATGTGCACAGGTTGCGGCAGATCTCCCCGTAATTGTCATACATCTCGATGAGCCTCAGAGATGATGCAATCACAAGGAGTATTTTGAGGATCCAGATATGCATTTTGTCCTGGGAGAGGGTGCCCCAGCTCACTCAAGCGCAGGAATGGGGGGTCATCTAGAAGGGAGGGAGAAGAGAAAGGAGTTTGCTTTTTTTTGTCATCATATATGCACTGGAGACACACACACACACACACAACCACACCGGACACACACTGGTAACAGCACCAGACAAGTTGGCCCTATTAATGCTTATGCTTATTATGCAGATGTGCTATTCCAGCATCCCTTTTTTCTTTTTTTTTTTCTTTCTCGTTTTTGGCTTTGACGTGTAAATAAACAAGCTTATGAATCTTTAATGGCTGCATACTTTTAACTGATTTTATCTCTTGGACGGCTACTGCGCATTTGTGATAGCTTCGTCTGAATTCCAATCCATCTTGTGAAGAAAAAAGCTATTCATCATCATGCGCCGACCCAAAGACTGTCCTAATGCACCCCCATGGGAATTAATTTTAAAACCCCCAAAAAATCGAGTTAGCGTTTTACTGTATGCGAACGTAACCCGGTTTATGATAAAGTTGATCATACGTGATTGTTTCAGATGCTTTCTCCAAAACATTTGTTCACTCGGACTCCACTTAGACGATAACACTGGTGGAACTGTCTGCTTGGCACATCTCATCGTGTCTCTATGTTAAAACAAGCCTGCTTTGAATAGTGCTATCTAAATCTGTGCTTTTTAAGGCAGAAAATATGCAAGTGGAAAAAGATACACGCTATTTTATCTGCCAGTGCAACAGTCACAGCCCACAAAGCAGAAATAGACACAAGATGGATGGTCAAAATAATCACCGTTTAGCATTTAAGCACATAGCGGTGGCAATACTTCTGAAACAGTCATATATTGTTAAGCCAACTGCTATGGAGAAGGTTACAGATCCCCTTCTGTCGTGCCCAGGCAACACGCGCACACACAGGCGCACGCACACACACGCATCCAAAGACGCACTCCTTAAAAGAGCACAGCGCTAAACATAATGCCCCTCAAATCTCTCCATCTTATTACGCATTGGCCCAGCGTCTGTAAAGCAACGTTTGTCCGTGCTACTCTTGTATGTGGGGGAACTGTGACGAGAGGGAAAGGTAATATGCAGTTTTCTGGTGAATATATGCGCGCTATTGCCACCGCATCCGCATCAAGTTCAGCTATGCAACTCGAGGTAAAACACCCCAATTCGGCACCGCGGATAGCTCGCCCGTGCATAAAACAACGTCTACATCAAAGGACGCGGGAATGAATAGTCGTTCTTACCGTGCGTATGTCCTTAAACGTCAAAACATCCCGGTGAAAAAACCTGCGCCCTTCCCGGCTCCATGGATTTTGCGATTTCACCCGCGACGTGAACGCGAACAGCACCCCTCAAACTCAAGTCTCTCCGGTCCATAAACCAGGCTTCGAAGAGGGCACACATATACAGTTTCACCAGTAACGTGACGGCTCCTGCGTGCGTCTTCTCCCTGGCGTCTTTATTAGCGCAAGCATGTTGAAATGGGCAAAGGCAGGCGAAAACCAAAGTTCGGACATGTCAAAAAACGAGCCGAAACCGCGGGGAAAAACTAGCGCAGTAATCCACACGATCATCAGACGCGTCTTGTTGCCGCATGCATTTTAACAGTGACTTTCGTCCGACGGAGCGGAGGAGAGAGAAATCCTCTTGTCTGGCTGCCTGCTGCCAACAGTGCAGGGAGCGTAGCAGTTCATATAGACGTCGTTTTCGTATTAAATGTCCAGAAAAATGCCATTTTTAAGAGGATCCTCGTTCAGACGCGCGACATTTTTCCCAGCCAAAAAATCAAACACACGATATCCTGTATAATCTTCCAGCGTTTCAACTAGTGGAACTTGATCTCCTTTTGGTGCAAACAGGCGCATCCCCTCTAGCCATTATGAAACAATCAACATAAGAATGGCAATATAAATCACTAGGAAAAAACGCATAAATCCCCCAATCTCTCCACTGTCACGACGAGGAAATGAAAAGCAATTGAATGCGTGCAATAGTCTTTAAGGGGGTATGGTAATGTGGGGAAGGGAGGGAGGAGAGAGGGAAAGAAAAAAAAAAAAAAAAAAAAAAAAAAGCGAGGGAGGGTGGAGGTGGAAGATTGACCTATAGGGGGCAGCACGATGATGAAAAAAGCAGCCTGGCGCCGCGCTTGCATCTTTTTTTTTTTCCCTTTACCCAAGCGTCTGATATGTCACTTGGAAACTATAGGGACGAGTTTCCTTCTATTTTCCAGCGGGCAAATCATTATGCAGTAATAGTATGAGTCTACTTTGACAAGTCTTTGATTTCTTATGGGAGAGGCATCATTATTTTTACTTATAGTTTTCAAATAGTGGATTATCACACTTCACAGCTGCACAAACAAGACGCTACACACACCTAACTATTAACTAACTAACTAAGAACATCTGACACCTAACACTAACGCTTTATTATTGTAAAAAATATATATTACTATTCAAAAAACTATTGTCACAGTCCACTAAAGTAATCTGCATTGTTTGTAAACCTTTTTTAGGGCACACACAATGCAAGAGGCCTGCCATAATTAATGTAAAATAAGACAAGTAATTAGGAGTGTAATGATATCCAAGTCTCACGATACGATATTGTCACGGTATGAACCTCACAGTATGATATTTTTTTGCAATATCGATCGTGGGAAAGCTCACGATATGGTGGGGAGGCTCACGATGGATAACAATATCCAAATCTCTCGTTACGATATTTTCATGATGTACATCTCACGGTATGATATTTATCGCAATATTTTGTGGACAAAACTGTTAATATGCTACTTTTTCCTCTTAAAACGCCTTGATAAGACTTAATCCAAAGAACTAAGACTTAAAAGTGTTTAGAACTGTTATTTCTTCATGTAGTCTGCACTGAAATGGAGCAAAGGATCATGGTCTATGTAGTTCCCTCGGTCTTTTTTTTAGCTCTTGCTGTACCAGAACTTTTCATCTTAGCAAAGAGACTTGTAATTCGATATATTGTGATGGTCCGCAATATTATTGTAAGAACTTTACAATATCACAATATTTTGGTTATTGTTACATCCCTACAAGTAATATACACTGTACTTTGGCAGATTTTGGAGCACAATATATTGCTACAGAGGAAACTAATGATACACAATCATGTTGAAACAAATTTACGCCACTGAAATGACAAAAAATAAAGCAGAATCATTCCAGTAATCATTTTCTTTTTCTTTCTTTCTTTTTTTAACATTATGAGTAAAACACATGAGCTACAACTGAAAAATAGCAAAAAGAACAAGTAATTAGTCCTGGATGTAACTTTTTTCAAACATCTACGGCTCCAGTCTTCGGCTACAGCTCAAATCCTTATTGCATAAAAGAACAGCAGAATCCTCCACACTTTTGCAACAAAAAATATGCACACGATACGTATTGAGCCCCAAAATCTAATGTTCCAGCTTTCATATATCGAACGATAAGATAGATGGATAAATGCTTTATTGATCCTGAAGGAAACTCAATTTCAAAGTCAATATAGTAATTATCATGTAGTTATTACCATTGTGCTTTTGAATTTCAAAGCTGTGGATGAACCCCTATTTTGATTTATATTTAAATAGAAACAGAAACACAAGGCACTACTGCTACTACAGTAAATGTGTCTTTGAGAATATTCAGCACCATGGACAGAGATTGTTCATGGTGCAGACATTTCCACAGCTTGTGATGTTTTATTGTACACACTGCATGTATTAGAATATACAATATACAAAGCCTCTGATTTTAGCAATTCAGACACAGATCCCTTAACTTATCCGAGAAAGGAAGCTGTGCAAATGTGACCCTGTGTTGCTAAAATTGTGCATAATAAATAAGACATTGAGCAAATAAGTATGTATTTATATATGTGTATTTTACCTTTGTATGTAGTGTGCAGTAATACTAATAAAGCATTAATCCTATAAAGCATTGTTTCCCAAAGACTGGGTCGTGACTCTCAGGTGGGTCGTAAGAGATTTTTTATTTATTTTTTGGTCATTTTTTCATGATCTGCATGTAGATCTACAATATACTATGTCTAAAAAGGTGATTAAAATGGGACCTACCTTTTACTTACCTTACTAGCTTTTATTGCTGGTTCAATGACTGTTTTTCATTGTTTAAAACTTGAGTAATACTAATTGAGACACGATCACTCAGTCAACAAGAAAATATCCTCATTTAATGTTCAATAATGGTCAAATCCACCTTTATTTCGTGATTTACAAATAATGTTTATTGACTTGGGTCACAGAGGTTTGTGACTTTTAAAATATGGGTCCCCAAAAAAAATAAAAAAATAAAAAGTTTGGGAAACACTGCTATAAAGCATTTTCCCAGATGCTCAAAGTTACTTTAATAACATAATAATAATTACGTTTTTCACTCTAGTTATGATTTCTACACTTTATACTCTGTGGTGGTACAGTCCTTCTGTAGCAGAGCTGCCCAGGATAGACTGGCAGATGTGAGGCTGCCAACCTGCCCCTCTGAACACCCCAGTCACCCATAGACACACCGCAAGCAACAATAGGCTAGGTGGATGAGGTGTCTTGCCCAAGGACCCAGAAGTGAAAGCACTCGAGCCCCTGCTGTCCCACTGTGGCACCTGGTATTCACAGCAGAATCCCATCCATGTACTAATCCTGCTTAGCCTCCGAGATCAGACAAGATCAGTCGTTTACAAGTCGTTGTGGCCAACTTGAATTCTTGAATATATAGGAAAGGGATATTTAAAGGGCTCACATTATGCAATTTTCTGATCAAAAACATACCTGGAGTTGTGTTTTGTGTCATTCTTGCATGTTCAACCTACAGATCACGCGTATTTAGGCTGAGTTGTTCTCTCAAACCGAAAACACTCTGTTCCATGACATGATCTGTAAATTGACGATCAATTTTCAAGATCTGGAATTGAAGATCTGTACTGAACAAAACGTAAACAATAACTGTTAACTTGAAAACTACCA